ATTTACGAAGACAGCAAAAATTCAGTTTCCTGTATACTTGCAGATATTCTAATTAACAAAATTACTTTTCGGATTTTCATAAGAAATCTCTTTTGGAATAATACATCCTTTATTCTCAGACATTTTCGATTTCCGGGAATTTTCCTTTCTAAATCATTTTTTGTTTTTTGTGTAACCATATTTAATTATTATTATTGTTTATTGCCGATGCGTTGATTTATCTATTTCTGTGATGCAAGTTTGTAATCAAAACCTATCTCCATTGACGATAATGTTTTGCAATGGTTTCAGATAATTGACATTTGAACTCTGATTAGGTGCAGAAGCCGAAATTTACAATCACAACGAGAGAGATAATGAGCTGGAAGAATGAGATGAGAAAAAAGATGCGCAAAGAAAAACAAATGAATGATAAAATACGAAAGAAAAGAGAAGAGATGAAGAGGAAGACACGGATGTATGGAAAAAGATAATGACAAAATGAGAATTAATACATTTAGGAAATATAGGTAGAACAGAAAACATATATATATATATATAAAATATATGGAAATCATATATATATTTTATGAATTAACTGATTTAATATATATATATATATATATATGACGATTGTATCTGGCATGAAACAGCCTGTCGCTTCTAAGTGTTGACTTCAATGTTCACTTTTATATTTACACACGCTCTATCTCTGATATTGAGCACTTTATCCCATAAGTATAGCACACCCTAAGACTATATATATATATATATATATATATATATATATATATATATATATATATATATATATAAAATATTAACTGATATAAAATATGGTTTCCTTTACACTGTGTAGTTAATTTATAATATTTATGCTCTGTAAATTTACATTGAGCACTGTGTTGTAAAAATAAAAATATCAATATAAGAACATCAGATTATATATCTTACTGCTCTTTCTTTTTTATTATAATATATATATGTATATATATATATATATATATATATATATATGGGCGGGTTAGTAGATGTAAATAAATAAATATACTGTTTAATAATAAAGAAAGAGTATCTGCACAAATATGTCAGATTTCATTCAATTCATATATATATATATATATATATATATATATATATATATATATATATGAATTGAACCAGCTTCTAATACTCCGAATGGAGCGGTTTGCGGATAGAAGTCGTGACTCATAGGGACACAGTCCGTTGGTGTAAGTAGACTCGGGTGAGTCACACGACGGAATTTGTGAAGAGGTGTCACTCTATCGGTTTGTTACCTCTCAGTCATCGAGACAAATTACTCGAATGGGTGTGATGCTTGCGATCTACCGTAATGGGCGGCCGGTAGTGGATGCACACTGTTGAGTGCTTTCTGCATTCTTCTGAGGATTCTTCTAGACTCGATGAATTAATTGTGATGTACATGTAGGGAAAGAAGTATGAGAAAGTGGCAAAGTTTGTTTTTTTTTTCGAATGTTGCGTTTCGTCCTTTAAGATTTCATCCAACTAAATTTATGTTTACATTAATGCGACTACGCATGCGCACGAACGGGAGGCGAACAGAATTTTAAATTCAAAAATATTTTTTTTTATTTTCATTCGTGCGCATGTGCAGTCGCATCAACTTGTTGATGTATAAAAAATTATATATTTGTTGTGGCCTGTTTAGGGGCTAGAAAGAAAGACACGGAAGACGAAGGTAGGCTGAACAAGTAGATTGAAGATATATACAAAGCAAGAGTGTGAGTAATAAGTAGATAGCTGTATACGTACGAACGGTAGGTTAGCACTACTTCTCTATATTTAATAGCCCCCACTACCAACCACGAGGGATGTATGTCATACAAGGCCTTAGAACCGGCCCGGGTTCAGGGCCTGTCTACCTCCCCGGACGAAACTTTGCCCTTCGGCAAAGCCTCGTCCGGGTTCTCTCTGCTCAAGGCAGAGAGTTCGAAAAAAGTCGCACACAGACAGAGACTGCGTCTACTTCTCTCTCCAACCGACTCTCGCAGTCAGTATTTATGAGCGGAGGAAGAGTTCATTCTACTGTGGGAGGTTTTACCCCAACAATATTGTTATCTCATATTATATATATATATATATATATATATATATATATATATAATAAAGTAAGTCAAAATTATCCGGAATTTCGCAATGACATATCTTTAGGATGTCACATTGCTCTCTAGTCATGCGTGTTTATAGTCGGTACTATTGCGGTCACATGATCGACGTTTGAGGTTGATAGCGGTAATTTTCTTGTTGCTGTTACCGTGTAAATATGGCTGCTCCACTGGCAGTGTGCATCAAGGAGGAACAAAAACAGGGAAAGTGTTGATAAGTTTTCTCTTACCCTCGTATATATATATTATTAAGATAACCTAATTTTACGAATGAAACTTCTCCGAGTTCTGAGTCATTTAGATCAATTACTTCAAAGAACACTTTGATGTGATCGGATGACCTTACAAAGTGGAGGGCATCATCCGTGTCAAAAGTTGGCTGGCGCCAAAAGTTGGTTGGCGCCAAAAGTTGGCTGGCAAAGTCAGTTGTTGTAAATCCGTTGGCAACCATTCGCTGACCCGACAAGTAAACTACACCCCAAACTATAAGTAAACTACACCTTTATGCTTTGTTCGTTTTAGCCGCCACTGACCAAATAACTAAAATTAAAATAAAACCTTTTTGTTTACTATAAATCTAAGTTGGTCTTCTGTCGTTCCTTTTACTTTTCTTTATCTTATAACTTTTGTCGCACACGTGATAATCTATCTATCTATCTATCTATCTATCTATCTATCTATGTAACTATAAATAAAACAGTTTATTTTTCCAACGAAAAAAATGTCCAACTAGGGTATATTTTTAAAAATTATTTAATCCCAAGCAAGACAATAATGCCACTAGTAGTAAAGTAACAGATAATATTCAAATAATATTCGAGTAACGCACGTCTAAAAAACTACATTACGTCATCATTTTTCTACAGATGCATTATTCATGAATCTAACTTATCTCTTCCGAATAAATACAAATCAATATATATACAAATACACATGAGATATACTTTAATGAAAAATCAAACCAAACAAAATTTTTCAAAACATCCTGCAGTGTCTTACTAATTTTTACACACTTTAACATCCATAATGTTTTCTTACACTTATTTGAATATTATATGTTACTTCAAAACACGTGACACGTGTCTAACCAATAAGAAATAGCCAAACACAAATTAATCTACGTCTGTTTGCTTTTTTATCATTTATCATTTCTATCTTGATCTCTGACGAAGCTTTAATAAAAGTGAAACGTTAGATTAAGATCTGTTTTCCTACTTGTTCATTATAGCATCATATATATATATATATATATATATATATATATATATATATATATGAACAATAAAAAATATTCAAAAATTCAAATCTTCAGACACACTGGGTTTTATATTAATATTCCTTCGTTTTTATTATTATTTCATTTAGATTCCTCGACTAGTTTCGGTCAACATGGCCATCATCAGAAGAAAAATAATTTTCTGCTTGCTAGTAGCAGTGAACTACAGAAATAAATGTCTTGATGGAGAAAATAAACTTTTGTCTGTAGTTTTCATTTGCTTTTTTACTTTTTTAATTTTTTCCTTGTGTTGGTCAAATAGTTTCTTTTAAGTTGTTATTTGAGATAAGAGCTGGATGGATTCATGCTGCTATATATATATATATATATATATATATATATATATACATTCTTTTCATAGATACAAATATTTAAGTAAATGCTCTGTTTATAATAAACAGTATTAAACAACATTTACCCGCCTGAATGTTCGAGAAATTTTCACAGAAATTATTCGTCCTCCGACAGGATTCGAACCTGTATCCTATACGGAACTGCCATTTAACTTGACGTGCCTTAACCGATTTGGCTACAGAGGAGCGTTCGGTTAGCAAGGTCGAATTTACTGTCTTTAAACTTGAATATTCCATGAATCTCTACCTACATTCCTATCTGCTCAAAGCGCATCCAAATGTAAAAAAATGACGTCACACATTATATATATATATATATATATATATATATATATATATATATATATATATATATATATATTTAAAGACATTTTATGTTTAACATTCTTTTTATAGATACAAGTATTTAAATAATTGCTCTCTTTATAATAAACAGTATTAAATAACATTTACCGGCCTGAATGTCCGAGAAATTTTCATAGAAAATATTCGTCCTTTGCGGAACCGTCATATATCCTGACGTGCCTAACCGATCGGCCACAAAGCATCGTTCGGTTGAATTTACTGCTTATAAACTTCAATCTTCCATGAATCTCTCACGTACATTCATAACTGCTCATAGCGTATGAAATGTAAACAAATGGCGTCACACATTATGAAATGGGCAAAGTCCGACAATTTTTTAAAGACATTTTTATGTTTAACATTCTTTTTATAGATACAAAAGTGTCTTTAAATAATTGTCGGACTTTTGTCCATTTCATAATATATATATATATATATATATATATATATATATATATATATATAATTCGATACTTCGACATTGTTTTTTTTGTGTGTTTAGCCTTGTGCCAAACACAATACAGAAAATAACGGTATATGAAATCTGTCGGGTTGAGTTCGGAGAGTTTGGTTATCATTTGTTTCTAACCTGTTCTTTCTTCGTATTATTTTGATTTGAGTCAATCTCACCTCCATTGACGGCGTTTAGTTCGTCGCCGTAGTCGCCGTCGGGTAAATACAACTTTGATTTCCGGCTTTTACGGACTGCTTTCACCGATGGGTAATTGGACGGTAATACAGTCGTCAGAATGATCAGTCTATAGCTGGTCCGGTAATTACGCTATGTTTATGGGTTGATCACCAAGGCCAAAAGCAATGGGAGCCTTTTTAGAGTTTCCAATGAGGGTGAAGCTGGATAATTGGCAGCGTAACAAAAGAAAAAAAAAACATATGAAATGGCTAATGATATGTGGCAGAGGACAGAGGAAGGCGGGAATTCAGATAAAGAGGTAGGTTGTTGTAGTTAGAATAAGGAAGATATTTAACGGAGAATTGAATAGGAAGGAGAGGTTGAAAAAGAAAATGGGAAAGAAAGAGAAAAAGATAGAGAAAGAAAGAAAGAAAAGCAGAAAGAGAAGTAAACATAGAAATAGAAAAATAAATGAAAGTAATACAAAACAAAAAAGAAGAAACGTCTTCGTTTTTTGGTCTAAAGGTAAGACTAATTGATAATGTGAGAAAGAAAGGGGGGAGTAAAGATAGAGAGATATATCGACAAAAAGATGTCTACACGGAAAAGAAAGTAAACACAGAGAAAAAAAACTATAGCGTGGTTTGACCTCAGAATATCACCGTAGAATACGTTATGCATCAATGTTAAACGCAGTTCAGCGAAAATAAAGGATGACCAGGTCACGTGGATTTAAGTATACGTGGAATTAATTAACGATTTGGATGTGCAAAACTCCTACAGGTTTTTCAATCGGTCGGATGGATTCAACATTAAAACAAAAATTCTGGCATTCGTCAGCCGGAACTGAACCGGTAATGAGAGCAGAAATGCAAGTCAACTTTCACTTCGTTTCTAACAACCGTAATGTGTAAATGTATGACAGTACCAGAACAAAAATGGCGGACAAAAGGCGAAAGTTGTGGAGAGTCATGTGAATCCACACCCTGAATAGTCATGGAACATAATTAAGAACTAAACTTCAAAGCCATGCACATTGCAATTATTTTTGGGAGTTTTAGTGAAACACACTTGAAATGATTCTTATAATTTTATTAAATTTTAACATATTTTTCTTATATTATTATCTAAGAATTGATATAAAGGCGCTTTGGAATAGTGAAATATGTCTTCTAAAAGCTAAGCAAAGTATTAAAAACAAGAAAATTTCGTTAGAAACACAGAAAAGAATACTGAATTATGCAATACCAGTCCTTCTATATGGCAGTGAATATTGGACTATTTATTCCTAAACGAAGCGGAGACTTCAGCCAACAAAGATGTGGTTCTAAATAAAGGTGCTGAGAATACCATGGAAGGAATATGTGAACAACGAGGAAGTTTTAAAGAAAATGGAAACAAAAATACACTTAGAATCAGAAAGAGACAGATGAATTTCCTGGAATGCTAATGAGGAAGAGGGATTGGAGAACTTGACACTCACAGGAAATGTTATTATCAAGTGTTGCATATTGACAGCAGAATGAGAACACGTCTGCATCGCTTGACGGGTAAAAAACAACTCGCTGAAACCTTTCTCCTATCTATCTTTCTCACGCTAGCTCAGCCAATCAAAATCGACTTCCTCGTTATGGCTTACATCTGACCCCAAATGTCAACCTTCGGAAGTCGGAGCAGAGATACACTAATTATACTAAAAAGTAATAGTCTGCTAAACTATTACTTAAACACAAAAAGGACAGAAAGAAACAGCGAACAACTGACCTGACGAGCTTATGTAAATGTTTGACAGAACAATGAATGAGAACGATAGTAAAAAGAGAAATATTGTTAAGAGTTATAAACGATAAGAAGTTGTGGAGAGCCATGATCACCCACGTCCTGAAAGAACATGATACATAAAAGAAGAAGTTTTTTAGTACAAATATATAAACAAAGAGAGACAAGAAGAGAAGGGTAGAGATATAATGGAGAGAGAGAGAGAGAGAGAGAGAGAGAGAGATAGTAAAAAAGAAACTGGTTATGTGTACTAAATACAATTTTGTTTCAACCACCTGTCATGGTGCTGACTTTGGTATTTTAAATAATTTTCACCGTGAAACATTCCTGGTTTATTTTAGAACTTGAAATATTCCCACAGGCATAACTATTTCAGCGGATAGTACACGAGAAGACAAAAAGAATCAAGGAAACAAATAGAAAGAAAAAGGAAAAGTGAAATAGGTAAAAGGATAAAATGAGAGAGAGAGGGAGAGAGAGAGAGAGAGGGAGAGGGAGAGAGAGAGAGAGGTGATAAATAAATAAAGAAAATGAGTGAGAAAGAAGAGAAGGAAATGGTTTGATAGAGGGAAAGATAAAAATGTATATAAAAGAGATTTATCATTCGATCACGAGTCCCGTAACTCATTGGAGTCGTAGGGGCACCACATGTGCCACAGCCGCAGTAGACAGTGGGTGTGACTTGGGCAAGTTAACCTGACGCAGTTTCTCCAGGCTGGTTTGAACACTTTTCATGGAAATAACACGGGAGATCAGTGAGAGGCTTGAGACAGTTCATCGGTGAAAAAAGGGAGTTGTCGGGTGGGAACTAATTCATCATTCACAAGGACGGGGAGACGTTTTTGGAGTCTATCGAGATTGGAAAGAGAATTCTAGGTAGCTCCTGCCCATATATGGCAGCAGTATTGGTGGTAAAAAAACAATATTCAGGGCATAATAACAAAGTTCAAACTTATATGGCTCATAAATATATATTATTATATTTTGTTCCTCATCTTTAGCACTAACGTCTCGTGCATGGTGGAATAGTCAGTTTTTCCTTTTCCTAGGCTGGTCCCACCAAAACCTATAGAACCCAGTCTGACCTGCTATTTAACCATAGCTAGCGGGAGAAAAGATGGATTCATACCTTTTTCAAGGTTATTAGCAGGTAAGCGAATTTTTGTGATGTTAACGAATACTCGTTGTCACTTTCGTAATGCTCGTTGTAGTAGAGACTTTGTAATCGCAGCTGCAGCTATAGTAACGCCATTGAACAATAATAGTGTCAGATGCCTTCGAATATCACTTGTACTAATAGTACTTGCTCGATAATACTTGCCCATATTGATCCGAATAGAGAATAGGGAAGAAAATAGAGAATAGCGACCCGTACAGTAATAGAGGATAGACTAGAAATAGCGATCCGTATAGTATAGAGGATGGAGTAGAAATAGAGATCGGTATAATAAGAAAAGATAGACTTGAAATAACAATCGTTAGTCGTCAGCTATATCATACATATATTCGTTTCCTCTTTGGTCACGTGGTCTACTTAATTCAATAATGGGATCGCCTGAGTTTGCTCACTGGCGATCTATGTTCAAACTCAAGTGTCGGCAGCGACATTTTATTCCTATATAACATGAATATAATGAAGTCGGCTGGAATTCGAACTCGGCTCTCAATCCGAGCCACAAGACATTATTCCACCGAGCCTCCATATTTATCATTATAATATGTTTTCTAATCGGAATAGCATGCTCGTCTTGCTTGTTATATTCACAACGTTTCAGCCGTTCTACTCTCCGACCATCTTCACATGTCTGTCGTCGTACCCAGAAATTTCGAGCCCAACCCTTTAGTCATTCCACGAGCATATATAGTTTTCATTACGCTTGCCATGCTTCGGGATATTTCCTAACAGCTAATGGAAGGTATGAGTCCATCTCTTCCCCCCCCCAGTTATGGGTAAAATAGCAGGATAGACTGGGTTCTAGAGTCTTGGATGGCAACTGGTCTAGGAGAAGGACAACTCTGAATTCAAACCAGTCTATGAGAAAGGAAACACTGAATTCTAAATTGTGTGTCTCTCTGGCGAAGCACATATTATGCAGCAAAGGAAAGGATCGTTTGCATTGACTCAATGATCCAGACTCCTTTAATAGACACTAGCCTAATTTATTACTGTGCTGCTTGTCCGTTTCTGCCACTGAACTAAGAGTATGTAACTTTATGTCCATACCAGTAAGAAGGCTTGAACTCACCACTGTCATAGAAACCGATATGTCGCCGGAGGATGCAATGGCTGAAACGTTATGAACATAACAACTAAGGTTACCATGTTGGTTCGATAGCAGAGAAAAGAATCATTTTTCAATCTTCTGGCAAAGAAAAACGAAAAGAGATGAACAATTACTGTCGACACACGTAGAGAAATAAAGAAAGTCATGGCCCGAAACTGATGAAAGAAAGTATAAAAAAAACAAAACAAAACAAACAACGAAGGTAAAAAAGGAAATTAGACAAACAAAAGACAATTTGGTGGATGGCAATGGCAGAGATTTCATGAGATGACTATGAATGTATGTTAGATAAAACGAAGAATCGAGAAACGGTTTAATGTTTTTTTTGTCTTTTCCGGACTAATCAAAGAGCCAAACTGCTTCCATTAAAGAACGAATTCCAAGATAGGTAATTTCCCGCGTTTTAGTCTTTTCCGCTTGACGAGGCGAAGTTTAAAATGGGTTTCTTCCGCGCATGTGCACTCCTAGACACCATGCTTGACCACAGTATCATCATTTAACAAATTCCTTTTCAGATCTATTATCGTTGTTACTTTATCTATCAATCAACCACTCAATAAATCTATCTATCTATCTATCTATCTATCTATCTATCTATCTATCTATCTACGTCTGTTCATATCTGTGTATCTCAGTAAGTTCATATCTATCTATCTATCTATCTATCTATCTATCTATCTATCTATCTATCTATCTCAGTAAGTTCATATCTATCTATCTATCTATCTATCTATCTATCTATCTATCTATCTATCTATCTCAGTATGTTCATATCTATCTATCTATCTATCTATCTATCTATCTATCTATCTATCTATCTATCTATCTATTATGCCTGTGCAATACAGTAGTGTTTGATGAGCAGTTTACCACTTTTGTTATATGTTCATTATCTTTTCTGCCAGCGACGAGATATTTTTTCGGGTTATATGAAAATGCGAAAAGCAAAAGGACGAATGGCTTTATTTCTTTCTCATGGTCATTTCATAAGTACTAAATAAACAAAACCGAAACTTGTACTTTGAGCCGATTAATTTTTTTTTACAATGATGTTCACAATATACAAGGCCTCATAGCCACTCGTGGTAGAGAGTTACAGAATAAAAGTCACAGTTTATGGAGGTATATGGGGACGATAACAGTAAACCCTAAACTTGAACACGTTAAGATTGTAGTAATTGAGGGAGCATCCTGTTTGTCAACAAAGCAGCGGTTCGTGGGAAGAAGCTGCCCGAGTGAAACTGGTATCTCAATAATGGAACACGAACGGAATGAGGGTGTTTCGCTACAATGTGCGTGGAATGGCGAGTCTCAGCCGTGAAGATTAGAACCAGGGGAACTAGAGCAGTGAGAGACTTGTGACGTTTCGTCGGTGAGAAAGTTGTTGTAGGGTGGGAAATGATTTGTCACCCACAAAACGACAAAAACGCTTTTGAACTCTATCGAGACAGGAATATATAGCAGCAGTGTTGGTGGTAATAAAACAGTGATCGATGTATAATAACAGAGTTAAAAATTCATACGATTCATAAATATACATTTTGTTTCCAGACCGTTGGTACAACTAACGTTTCATGCACGGTGCAATCGTCAGGTTCCGATTGAGAAAATGTGAGTAACGACGAAGTTTTACAGAAAATGGAGACAAAAAGGATACTTATACCTAGTATCAGGAAGAGACAATTGAAATTTCAAGGACACATAATGAGGAAAGGGGGCTTGGAAAATTTGTTACTCACAGGACAGATTGATAGCAAGATAGACAGGAGAAAACAACGCATAACCTACTTATCAAGCTTGAGTAAATGTTTGGCAGTTCAGAGTTTGGGCAACATAACAAGAAGAATTTATTAAGAGCTACAAAGGACAGGAAGTTGTAGAGAGCCATAATCGCCAAGGTCGTAAATGGGCACGGCAACTAGAAGTAGAAGTATCTTCAAAATGAACTCGGACCCAAGAGTTCTTATTATTTCTGTACACGTTTAAAAAAAGTTTTTTTTGTGTTGGTTTTTCTTTTTCTAATATGTTATTGCTGATGGGATTTTAAACGCCAGCAAACAAATGTATATTTATATTACTTACCTATCAATCATGACACACCTACACAAATCTACTCTTAAGATATTGAATGAATAATGCAGATGATTGGTGTTTGTGTGCTGCTTACCACTCGTCACATCTGTTTCTATGGATAAGCTATACTAACTGAATCTACGGCTGATGGAAAACCAACATTAAGTGTAATAATGTAAACAGTGAAGGGAAGGCTTGATAATGACAAATAGAAGAGACTTTTTGTCCCCAATGACAGGATAAAAAGCAGATCGATAACCATACGTTGACGTAACGCACGGTGTGTTTCAATCGGTGACCAAGCGACAAGTGAATTGATCTGTTAGTTCTTTTGTCGCTTTGTTCAGCTTCGCCATTGCCCTCGTCAATTTATTGTTATTTCTTTTCTTTTTTTTATTGCACTTTCACCTGAGTGTTTTGTTTTTCAATCACCAGAAAGGATAAAGGAATATTGATTTGTTAATCCTTTCTGTTTACAATTTGATTGCCAGTGTAACGATATCCTTTTCTTCTTCTTCTTCTTCTTCTTCTTCTTCTTCTTCTTCTTCTTCTTCTTCTTCTTCTTCGTTGTGACGTATCGTATCAAGGGGCAGGTAATCAAGGTTTCCTATGTTTTGTATCTCTAAGCTATGTTTCTTCCCTTTTGTCCCATTTGTGTACCATTTACTCAAGTTCATTGGGTTGTGAACTCAATTCTTCCCACGGACCTTTTTACCTTCAATGTCTTGTGAGTGTCAGACTCTCCAAGCCCCATTCCTCATTATATGTCCCCAAGATCTCAACTGTCATTTTTATCCAAAACTAAATTGTTCTCTTTGTTCCTTTTTCTCTTTGAAACTTTCCTTTCCTTCTTGATCTTTTCTTGATCTTTCTTTCTTTCTTTCTTTCTTTCTTTCTTTCTTTCTCATAAATTTCTTTTCTTCCTTTCTTGTTTTATCGGACATCTCCTTTCTTTCTTTGTTTCATAATCGTACCCCTTCTTTCCTTAATATCTTTTTCTTTTCTTCTTTCTTTGCGATACATTTGCAATCCATTTTTTTGCATTCATTTCTTACGAACATGCAAACAATACAAATAACAGTTAAATATTTTCGGATACCAATTTCGACCAATGCATTCAGTTTCCAATTGTCCTTTCATTCATTACTTAGGAACGTGTTCGTAAGTTGAAATATCACACATGAAGGATACAGACAACTTGGGGGCCACACTTTTACGTTGCGAAGCTGTTGAACGATGAAGCAGA